CTCATGCATAATCACTTTCTACAAGTCTTGAGCTGTTCAGATCTGTTATATCTTTATTAGATTTTTTTCCTACTTGTCTTATCAATTACCAAGAGATGTGCATTCAAAATACCAACTGCAACTATGAATTTTTCAATTTCTTATTAGTGTTTAAAAGTTTATTTACAATCTATTTTTCATCAAAGTTATGCAAATACATAGTTTAAAGAGTCAAGTTGTTCTTGAAAAAGGGTCAGTAAAGTTATCTGAAGAGGTCCAGGTAGAAATTATACTGGACTTTGCTGTGGGTATGGTCGGTCTGTGTCTGAACAGAAGAGCTCAGTTTTGCTGTAAGGGGGCCAGTGTCTTCACAAAAGGCATTTAAGTAGAACATGCATTCTATTGTGATCACTGGCATGTTTCTAACTCCTTGCTTTGTGGCTCTTATATCTTTTGCTTTCCTGACACTTTTCTTTTTACCCGCTCATGACCGTTGATTTAGAGGCTGTGTACTCTATTCATTTTCAGTGATTACTACAAAATATTCACAGGCTTCCTAACTTAGCAAAGTCCAAAATCAACTCAATATCCCTACCTACACTAGGCTTATAGAACACCTTAATGCCAAACTTCCTTTCCTATATTGTCAACGGTTTTTGTCCTGTATTCAAGTTTAAATTCAGTGTAGTTTGAGTTGGGTATTTTGTTTGGTTTTTTTTCCTTGAAGCAAGGGTCTGCCAGTGATAAACTCTTTTACTCTTTATCTGAGAATGTCTTTATTCTGCCCTTAGTTGGGTCTTTTGTGTTTCTGAGCCCATTATTCAAAGTCAACTGGACACAGGATTTTAGGCTAGTTATTATTCCCCTCTCCCATTTCAAGGACATTATTCCATTATAGTTTTCAGAGTTATTTATTTATTTATTTTGGTACTGGGAATCGAACTTGGGACCTTGTGTTTGCCAGGCAGGCGCAATTCCACCATCATTCCATTATATTCTGGCTTCTGCTGTTAATGTTGAGAAGGCTGCTGTCTGTCTGATTGTCGTTATTCTTTGTAAGTGATCTTAAATCTTTTGTTCTTTAATTTTCTCATCTTATTTGCATTCTCTAACTTTCAGGTTTATTAATTCCTTCAGCTATTCTTACCTAATCCGATATGGAATTAATTTTTCTTGTTTTTCTTTCCTGAACATTTTTTCCAGCACTATTTAAGTGGCATTCTGATTTATCGTGTTCACCTATGGGTCATGTTCCTTTTATTACTACTTTGCTACTGGTGATCTTTAAATTATTCAACAAATTTTGAAATTTAATACATACAGTACAGAATTCAGAATATTAACATTTTAGTTCAGGTTCCTCTGTTTTAGATTCCATTATCCATTTATCTGTAGCTTAGAGTTTATTTCTTAAAGTCTCCTGGTTTATGTAAGTTGTATGAATTTCCCAGAGAAACATAAAAGAAACATCTGCCTCCAAACGGAGAGGGCATCAGCAATCCGAAGCATGACTAGGACGAGTCCAGCTTGGTGAGTGACTAAGTTTATCTGGGGTTACTCACGGAGCACTGGACAACTTCAGGCTGTTGTCAAACTCCTGTGCTAGGCTACTGGTTTTACTGGGCTCTAACTAAAACGGCAAAAGCAGGACCAAAGGCAAGAAGGGTTCTTTGAAAAAGATGTGTGTACTCTGCTCCTAGCGCACCCTTATCAGGAAATTACCTCGTTATACAGCGAGCACTGTGGAGCCGCATAGTTGGGTGACTATTGTGGTGTCATCCGGCACACAGCCTCCCCACCTGTTCAGGGCCCACCTCAAAGCTAAACAGGGGTTATCTTCGTCATTTCTCATCACTGGGCACAATACCTGATACCCACAACTAAAAGGAGGAAAGCTTTATTTTGGTTCACAGTTCCAGACCATGGTTGGCGGGCTCCAAAGCAGACACAGCATGGTGGAGGAAAGCCAGGGCAGCCCAGAAGCAGAGGAAGAAGGAAAGAGCCAGAGACAAGAACACACTCTTCCGGGTCTTGCCCCCTGGACCCACTTCTTCTCACCAGGGCCTGCCTCCCAACAGCACATTCAGCTTCTGAACTCACCATAGATCAGTCCACTAATGAATACAGCACCCCACGTCCAATCACCTCCCAAACACATGAAGCACTTGGGAGACATTTTAGTTCTAAATCAAAACAGGGGCCCACTACGTGACAGAGTTATTTTGGCTAGGGTTCAGCGGACGATTCTCGCCAAAATGAACTTAACTACCACTGGCAAGATGAAATGTACAATCAAGACAGTGAGTGTCAGTGCGGGTTTTAGCCCACAAATCTGTGCAGTGGGGAATGCTCCCTGGCTGCCCTTCACTGGGAGAAGAGCTGCTGGAAAGACAATAGCAAGAAAATTTGCTAATATTTCCACAAGTCTTGAAATAATACTTGTTTACAGATGAGAAAAAATTAAAAACATCTGATGACTCAAAGAAAAAATTAAAACTCAATGTTTGACATCTATAATGACGTGCTCCTGATAGAAATATTACTTTCAAATAAGCATAGCAGTGGCTTCTAGACTGTCACCTTTCCCCTGACTGATTCACCAGGGGCAGGCGAAGGACTTGGGGAAAAAATGCAGGTAAGCATTTGCCAGGAGTCACCAGCCCCTCGGTGTTCAGCTTGGGTCGGTAAGGTGCAGAGCCCTGTTGTCCTGAAACTAGAAATGTGCACAGCTCAATTTTTTACTTCTGTCAGCATGTAGAGTTCATCAGTGCTCATATTTTCTACAGTTTCACCTTCTTCCTCATTCCCTCCTCCCTCCATTTCAGGATCATCTGAGCTTTTTGTTTATATTGTTGTGAATTCTTTTGAACTCTATTAAAAATCACTTAGCTGTACCTCTGAATTTGGCCTAGCAGCTAAACTCATTGTTGCTTCTTTTTCTTGGTGTTTTTTTTTATTCATCCCGCAGAAAAATTTTTATTTATTTTTCTAGAGAGAACATAGAAATACAAATGGGCAGAGTTTTTGCCTGTCTTGGAATTTTTTTTTTTTTTTGTAGCATTCAATCTGTTGGACAGCCTTTTAACATTTCCACTGTCCCATTAGACAGAGCCACCTATCCCAGCGCAATGGTTGGCATGTGGAGAGAGTGAGGGACGTCTGGAGTGTGAGGTGTCAGGGGCAGTGAGGTGCAGGTGGGATCCGAGGAAAATGGGGGGAACTATGCAATTTAGCTTCAAAGTATCCCTTCCTTTTTTCATCATTGTTTTAGTCCCTTGTCTTTTGGAGCTATTATGCAGTCAAACTCTGATATGGACCCGAGCCTCTTTTCATTGCGGGAGGGTTGCCAGATTTAGCAGCTCAAAATCCAGGCAGCCTTTTGTATGTGCCTATACTAAAAGTTTATTTTTTATATTCCTTTTAGGGGAGCAATACTGGAGATTGCCTTCATATGGAACGCCATCCTCAGAACTTATTTATTTTTTTTATTTTGAGACAGATTTTTGAGACTTATTTATTTTTTATTTTGAGATAAATTTTGAAATTTGAGGCTCCAATTTGGGAACCTCCTGCCTCATTGCTGGGTTTGCAGAAGTGCACCACCATATGCCCAGCTCTATTTGTTGTATTTCTGAAATTCAATTTTTACTGGTCATCTGATGTTTTTTTCTAGTAACTTTATAGTTAACTGTCTAGTTTTTGGTGTTCTCTCTCAAATCTCTCAGAATTTATTCCTTCTTTATTCCAGAATGTCACCAGGCAGTGTCTGAGAGGGAATACACCACTGTTTGGCCCTGTGCCTTGTACCCCACCACCTTGAAAACCCATGCTTCCCATGTAGGACCCTGTATCTCTGTTGCATGTTTGGTCTGTTTGTCTCCTTTGTCCTCTGCCCTCACCCAGCACTCTCCCTAGGTATAATTTACAGATTTAAGCTCCCCATTGCTGCTTAAATAACTTCAATCCACTGAATGAGCCACTCTCACCTACAGCTCTTGCACCATGAAATCAGCTTTAATAAACTCAGTCTCATGAGGAATAAATTCTATGAAGGATGCCATACCTCTGCAAGGTGTACGCTCTAGGTATCAACCTGTGTCTCTCTTCACATGAACATGCCAGTCCTATGACAAGAAGGTACACACTGGGCTCTTCTGTGTGTGTGTGTGTGTGTGTGTGTGTGTGAGTGTGTGTGAGAGAGAGAGAGAGAGAGAGAGAGAGAAAGACTGACAGAGAGAGAGAGACTGACACAGAGAGAGAGAGAGAGAGAGAGAGAGAGAGAGAGAGAGAGACCTGTCTGTGTAGATAATTCATTGTGAGACATGGCCTATATTTCTTCTGAGCTGGAGCACTTAGTGGCTGATATAAGAACAACTAGAAGATTCATATGCTCAAATCCCTGCCATGGTGTTTGACTGGGTCCCCTAAAAGCTCCTGTGTAGGGAACTTAGTGCCCCAATCCACATATTAATGGAACTAGGAGGTGATCAGGATTAGATGAAGTCATGAGGCTGGGAATTTGAGGCACTAGTGGCTTTACAAGAGAGGAGGAGAGATCTGAGCTAGCATGCTTGCCCTGTCTCACCCTCTGTTGCCCTCCACCATATTGAGATGCAACAAGAAGTCTTCAGCAGGTGCCAGCACTGGGCTCTTGGACTTTCAGCCTCCAGAACTGTGAGCTAAATACACCTCTATAATTTAAAGTGCTAGATTTCAGGTATGTTTTACAGCAACTGAAAATGCACTGAGACACCCACCATGAGTGCCAGTGTCCCAGCTGGTCTATCTACTCTGCCAGTAGGTTTGGAGTGGAATGATGCAGGAAGGGTGTGTCATTTTTGAAGGGACAGAAAGCAGGAGTGAGAGACAGACTCTGTCCATGGTTCTTCTATCTGGGGATGTTTGTCACTGCAGCAGTGTCACTGAGCCATCCTGACTGATGCATGGGGAGGACCAGAAATCCCCTCTATACTAATGTTGTGTGAGTCCTTAGATGCTGTGAACCCACAGAGACACAATCATTCCTATTGCATTTTTATTGACATTGGGGAATAGGGGCCTTGCAGGTGAGTTGATCCTGGACATTGATCGGTTCAGCTGAAGCTTGGCCTGGATTCAGTGTTGATGGCAAAGGTGGTGGGACCCAGAAAGCCCCAACTTAGAAGCTTTTTCTATTGATGATGGAGCAGCCAACATCCCTGTACTCACCTCTGGTGACCCACATGTCCTTAAAAGTTGACAGGGAGCCCAAGATGGAACCACCCACCCAGGCACTGCACTTGCCATAGGGAGAAGAGGACACCTGGGAGCAGAGGGGGTAGAGAAGGGGAAAAAAACATTAAAACATGACTCTAAATTGGGGCACAGTTATCTTACCCCCAAAATTCACAAATAGTCATTTTTTCCTCCTTGGGGTGGGGGATATAGCTCAGGGGCGTAAGCATCTGCCTGGCAAGCCCAAGGTCGGGTGTTCAATTCCCAGTACCAAAAAAAAAATTTTTTTCCTCCTGGCAAATATGATTAATTATTATCCAGTAAAGTGAGAAGTTCATATCCACATCCTGTAGTTTTATTAACTTTTTATTTGCTATTTTATATTTTAAATTTTTGATTAGGATATGTTTATGACTAAATACATTCATTGTGGGGAATTGGTACCTAGGGGTGAAATGGACAAGGGCACAGAGGACTCAGGCCCTTGACATTGTAAAACACAATATATTTTATACTTTATAAAGACTATGCAGCCGGGTGTGGTGGTACACACCTGTAATCCCAGTACTCGAGAGGCTGAGGCAGGAGGATCACTGCAAGTTCAAGGCCAGCCTGGCCTACATAGTGAACCCAAGGCCAGCCTGAACTACACAGGGAGACCCTGTCTTGAAAAAAAAAAGACTATGCATTCAGCATGTGTATTTTGTAGAAAAAGTTAGAAAACAGAGATAAGAAAAAATCAATCACCAAACCCCTTCTACCCTGCCAAGCAGAGCTTTCCAGACTCTGCTCCTGCCTTCACACTGCCCTCAGCATTTTTTTATATCAAGGAAAAATCTCCACACCCATTTGTCACGAGCAGCCCCTGAGGCTCAGGAAGGTTAAGGTCACTTGCTCAAGGTCAGACTGTTGACATCCTCGCTGCTTACTAACTTTTATTGTAACACATAGCTGGCGAAGGCAACCCTGCAGGGGTCTGCATGGGAGAAGCTCAGGATAGGATTTGGAAAACCCAATTTGCAGGCAGAGTGAGTAGACAAGATGTAGTCTGAGACTCAGCTCCCCACTGGTGCTGATCACCGCTATGCTGGGCTTGGAAAACACTTTCTGGTATTAGTTAAGAGATTTGTCTCCATGACTTTAAGGGAAAAAACAGATAAGAGAGAAAAAAAGAATGTCTGGGGTCAGCACTTCAGGCAGAGGAAAGAGCCAGTGCCTGACACCTGGGAGCCTCTGCTCTACTTTTTCTTCTGTCACCCTGGACAAGCCATCTGCCCCATCTGCGTCTTATCTGAACACACACAGAACCAGACAGAACTGGGACAACATATGTGTTACAAAGAAACGAGAATACCACAGAAAAATGGCCAAAGGGTTGGAATGGGCAATTACAAAAATATATTTACAAAGCAGGCAGAGAAAAGCACAACAAACAATTTTTCCCATTTACCAAGATGGCAAAAGGATTTTGAAAATGAAGCCACCTGGATATTTTCATGGAGAATTTGGCCATACTTTCAAAAAGCCTTGGGTTGTGCATATTTTTCTGGCTTCAAAAAGCACATGTAGAAATGGATTCGAAAGGAAAGAAAAACTCTTCTCAAAAAGGGGAGTGGATAATGGCAAACATTTTTAGCCTAAGAACATTCATTATAGCACAGCTCAGGCTGCCAGGAGAAGCAATTACAGGTGCTCTTTGATGTACGGTGGGAGCACATCCTGGTAACCTCACTGTAAGTTGAAGACATTGTTTAAGTCAAAAATGCACGGTGCACACCTGGGCTGTGGAACATTCTGGCTCAGCCACACAGCAGGCTGCAGTGTCACCAATTCACTCCTGTGAGCTTAGGGGCTGACAGGGACCTGCCCCACCCAGCTTCAAGAGAGAGGACTGAACTGCCCAGCGCTAGCCCTGGGGAAAGATCAAATTCAAAATTCCAGGTACAGTTTCTGTTCAGCGTGAATCACTTTCATCCCCTTGTAAAGTCAAAATATATAAGTTAAAACATGGCGAACTGGGGATGGTCCGTATATGAAAAGTTGTCCCTGCTGGAACGAGTTGTTCTCCCAACGTAGATGGATTTGTTTTAGGGAGAGAATTCTTTTCTTTAGGTGAATAATTAGCTTTATGGATGATTGCAGGCGAATCTGCCTCCCAGGCCTTTCCAGACATTGTTTCCCAAAGAGATGAAGCAGAGAAGAGCTAAATTACCACAAAATTACAGGAAATGTGTCACCTCCAAGATTCCTGTAGAAGTTTTTTTAAGGGGGTGGGAAAAGAACAGGGCACCTTGAGGATGGGGAAGGTTTTGAAAGAGCTTGGTCCAAAATGCAGCCTGGCCGCGTCCTGGCAGCCCAGAGCTGGCCCGAGGGAGTCCCTTTACAAGCACCGTCCAAAAACTTACAGTTTTCGATTTCAATTTGCTTTCTGTGCTGAACTAAGTAGAAGCCTTCCTCTCTGATTTAGTAAAAGCCTTTCACACGAGAGCCTAAGGCCTCTGAGAGCAGAGAAGGAGCAGGAGGAACAGGATAGGTGCCCAGGGCTGGGGCTGAGGAATGGGAAAACAGCTGTAATCATTTTGCATTATTCCATAAATGCTTCTTGTGACTTCACATCAGATGATGCAGCCGAGGGTGTAGACTTAGGAGGTGAGAAGACAGGTCAGGGAACAGTCGGCCAACATTATGTGCACGTTTGCAAAACCATGTGAGATACTATAAAGAATATTGATACAAAGAAGATTAGAAAATGAGAAAGCAGATGCGGTACAGCTCTCGAATGTGAACAGGTGTGATGCTTAATCTCAGTTGTAAACTTGATTGGATTGCAAAATGCCTAAGAAATTAGGACAGCGTGCTTTGGATATGTCTGCGAGGGAGACATGAAACTGTGGGAAATGTGGGACAGCAAACTGAAGGGTAACACCGGCCCTGAATGTGGGTGACATAGCCCAATAGACTAGGGACAACTTCCTCCACCACAACCTTGACCGTGATATTTTGCGTGGCCACAGGCTTAAGAGCAAAGGAACAGGTAACCATGGACTGAAGCCATGAACCAAATAAACCTTTCCTGCTTTAAGTTGTTGTTCTCAGTTATCTTGTCACAGTAATGGAAGGCTAAAACATATAGTATTTTATGAAGAGGTAGCCATGTTGAGGAGATAGGAAATGGAAGATGATTTTCCAGGGGACATCAGCAGCAGGAACAGAAGATACACTGAGGACACTGAGGTTGTTGTACCTTCACATCGATGGTAGGGGAAACCAGTCCAGCTAGTTCTCTCTGCAATCGTAATCGCAAGCCAGTGAAGGAACCAGTGCCTCCAGACAGGAGGATGTGGCTGAACAGGGTCTTCTGGAGGTCAGGGTGGCAGGAGGTGATGCACTGGGTGGTCATCATGTGGATCCCCTGGGCGCTTCTTCCTGTCAAGATGGGTGGAGAAAGAAGGAAGCTTGAGGCTAGAAGCTTGATCTGTCATACTCGGGAGTTCCTCCCTTCTAATTGAAGGCCCTGGGTGGTGGCACCTTCTAGTCCCAGATAGCCCTGAGTGCCACTAAGACCATCAGCACCTCCCGCAGCAAGGCCCATGTAGGTTTCAACAAGGTAGTGGACAGATGCGCCCAACCAGAGGACAAAGAAATAAATTCTAATTCTTCTCATTCACTAAGGGAAAGTATGTTCCAACGTTATTGACAGTTACTAGCTCCTTATGCCTAGGCAACAACAATTTCATGAAAGGATTTCAGCAGGGGCAGCGTCCTGGCTCAGGTAGCTGGGGGAATGGCACCAAGGGTCCTGTCCTGATTCATGATTTGGCTGCCTCCATAAATGCTGACCAGAACAACGCAGAAGAGCTGCATGGGTTGTGTTTGTCTATTTCATATCAGGAGCTTCTGGGTAGGTGGCGCCTGTCACCACCTCACTGTCTTCATACTGACGACCCCAGGTGCAAGGCCGGAGAGCCTAAATCACAGGTGGTTTGGAATGTGCCAGGCAGATGGCTCTGTGGTGCCATGAGCCAAGGGCTGTGTTCACATCCATTGGGACCCACCCTGACCCTTCCCCCTCTGGAGTCTGTGTGAGGCAAGGGCTTCGTCACTTCTCCACTTAGCCACCAGATATCTCAGGGGCATGTGCTATGATTATTTGTGATGTTTTTAAGACTAGGTCCCCCACACAGTGTAGTGTAGCAGAGAAAACAGAGCTACACCCAGGTAACTCATACAAGGTTATCAGCGCTAGCTCCTACTAGGTGCTAGTCCTGGAGAAATGGTTAGGTTCCCACATCTAACTCCTTCCAACCCTTATAAATGCAATGGATTATTTTAAGAATTTGATTTCAGGGAATATTTTATTTTCCACGACTTCCTGAAGGCTTCATTTTCCCATTCAATTTGGATTTTATAAGAATTTATCATTTTCCCTAATCGGCCAGGCCTGCCTGAGACAGCAGTCAACTCAAGGATCATTTGAAATCTCCAGACCAGCCATATTTACAGATATGGAGTTCTCTCCACATCTATGGAGCTCCCTCCATATCTACGGAGCTTGCTTTTCTGCCTTGACTGTCTTGATTTTATATTTCTAATTATTTTGGAGTAGATGGAGTTATAAATAATACATTATGAAGATGATCAGCAGCCCAACATAGTTGTAATCACACTTGACAAATGATTTAAAAGTTGGGGTGAATTTTCTCCTCTGTAAGATGGGGTGACACAGATTAGGAGAGAGAAGAAGGCACCACTTATGTAAAAGGGTCAACAGAGTGACAGGTGTATAACATGTGTTTAGGTATGTGATAGCTGATCCCAGAGGAAGTTTTGAAATGGGGCATTTATCTGCTACTCAAACCATGCTGCCCTCCTGGTTAACCTGTGCCTTCTTTCTGACCCTGCACTCCTTTGCTGGTGCTGGACTGACCTCTGCCCCCTTTCTGTGGACTCACCTATGAGGTTAGGCTGGAAGAGTGCCTCAGGACATAAAAAAGCCCCCTCCCCAAGGCTGATCTCCTGGCCATCAGGGAGCTGGAAGTCCTGTAGGCAGGAAGGTGGGTCACTGGCTTTCACCTTCACCTTGTCCAAGTCCAGCGCCACATAGCAGCCTTTCTCTTTCACATTCCGGATGTACTCTTGGTCAGCTTCCAGACAAAGGAAGAGTGCCAGGGAAAAGAAGACATGAAAATGGGGTGTATTGCGGTGAGGAACATACCACCCCTTGGGATTCTAGGTCCATATTCCGCTTGCTTTCTGGGGTCTCCTGGCCCATGCCAGGTAGGGGATGGGTATAGGACAGGAAGGTAGCATAGGGATGTTCTGAAATGAGAAGTGAGGAGGTGGAAATGCTCGGCATTTATAAATTGAGCATTACTTACTACATATAGTGCAAGTTTTGGAAGACTGGGAAATCAAATTCAACTTTACCATCTACTGTGACAGGAGGTGCTCCATATTGCTTATGATTGTACCCTGATCTGGAGAAACACCCAACAACATCCTTGAATCAACATCCTTCACCCAGAAGTTATGTCCTGCCCCTTTCAGAGTAGCTAACAGGTTTGAAGTTTAACTGCACCTTGGGCATTCTGGCTTTATAGTTCACCTGATGTTGTCTTTAAGTCTGAATCAGGAGGAAATTCCCTGAACTGCCCATAGGGAAACCCCATACACTGTTTTATCCACTAACCTCAGACTTTCATCTTCCTTCTCCCAAAACTGCTCTTGCCTGTGTATGTCCATCCTCCTAGTTCCAAAGCCCTGAGAACACACTTTCCTTCTTGCTCTCAAGCAACTGATGCTGTTAATCACCCTCTTCTCTTCCCCCTCTTTCTGGGTCACTGCAACCTCCTGATATTTTCCCCTTCTTCACCTAGTTTGACCTTCCACAAGACAAATTTGCATTCAGTCCCACCTCTACTGTTTACTAAATGGCTAAATACAGGCAAATTCATTATCCTGTCAAACCTTCCTTGTCTTCATCTTCAAGAGTAGGACTAATTGTCACATTCTGGACTACTATAAGGACAGGATGAAGTAATGCACACAAAGATCTTGCTAGGTGTAAGGTGTCAATGACCTGCTGTGTCTTTGCCCTCTATTTGCTGTTATTCTTTAGGATTCTGTGTTTCTCTTGGGTGTTACCACAGACTTTTTGCCTGAGGAGACCAGAAACTCCAGCTGGGACTGGGAGACATACAAGCTGGGAATCTAGTCTAGAGACTAGGCATACAGAGAGGCAGGCTCTGCCTTGTCTGAACTGCTTGCATTCATACTCCAGAGCTAATATCTCACCGCTTATGGGATGTTTGTCAAACCTTCTAGCCTTCCTAGGCTTCTTCTAACAATAGAAACAATTATTCCTCCTCACAGAGTTGCAGTGAAAAGTCATGGGAGAATGAATGTGGAATGTTTACTTGACCCGATGATCTCCACAGGGTAAGTTTTCGGTAAAGCTTAGCTGATCATTATCATCACCATTGACATCACCATCATCACCATCATCGTCACTATCGTGACCATTACCATCGTCTTCGCCATCACTACCATCACTGTCATCACCACTATCATCATCACCATCAACACTGTTATCATCATTAAACCTTCCCCACTATCCTCCCATCATTGCTATCAGAAGCTAAATCACCAGTCAGCATCGCCATTTTCAATATCACCATCTTCACCATCACTACGATTGCCCTCCTCATCATTATAAAGACTCCCAATGTCTCTAAATATGGATAGCACAGTTTCTGGAGTTTGGATGATGGTACAGTAGCCTAAGCTTTGAAACCTGAGGGCTGTAGTTGATTTCACTAAGAAAAACCCATACCCAAGCACTAAGTTGCCTGGCTGAGAAAATCAGTGTCCTACCTGTGCCCACTAACAAGATCCCCCTCTCCGTCAAAAGTTGCAGGAGGTACCAGGTCAGGTCTTGGCCAGCTACATCCAGCTGGAAGGTCGACTGATGCAAAGGACAGCCATCAGCGATGGGCACAAAGTATGTCATTCCCTCTCCAGATTCAATGGTTGTTCCTAGGTAAGAGAACATGGTGGCATCATCAAGAAGGGTATGGAATCCCTTAACAACTGTGAGTCTGCAGGAAAAGGTTGTGGAAAGGGACAGGGTCTGAGGATATGTGGAGGGGAAGGCAAAGGGTCTGGGCTGAGATAGGAAAAGGGAACTACTGTTTTGGATGAAAACCAGAGGATTTTCTTACTAAACTCAACATGCGAACATTAGCTATAACTGCCCCCAAAGTCACTGGGATTGTCTGAGTGACACTGAAATGCTGGAAGAGTCTGAGTGCAGTGGAGGAGGAATACACTGCAGTTTCCAAGGTACACTAGGATGTGATAGTGCAAAAGGAGGGGACACAGGAACAGGAGCACGTGGTCTAATTTTGTGTGATATAGTGGCTTTGGACCCAGAGCCAGTTGGAGTCTGGGTAATTGAGCAAGACCTGAAAATTTCAATGAAGCATGCTGAGTCCAAGGGACCTCCCACTCCAGCTGCAGTGGAGATCAGGGAGAGGTTTCTTTCCCACTCACAACTAAAAGAACAAAATACACTTTCAAGATACTGGACACCAGGCAACAATGCACGGTAGCCCTGAGAGAAAGGACACTATAAGAGAAGAAAGTAGGTTGGGTGTCATGGTGCACACCTATAATCCCAGCACGTTGGGAGGCTGAGGAAGGAAAGTCTCAAGCCTGGGCAATTTAGCAATAACCTGTCTCAAAACGAAAAATAAAATGGGCTGGAGATGTAGCTCAGTGCAAAGGTTCTAGGCTCAATCCTAGAACCACAAAAAGGAAGGAAGGATGGAAGGAAAGAAGGGAGGGAGGTAGGGGAAGAAAGAGAATGAGAAAGAGAAAAAGAGAGAGAAAGAGAGAAAGAAAGAGAAAGAGAAAAAGAGAAAGAGAAAGAACAAAAGAGCCAGCCACAATCACTCATGAACATAGACACAAAATTTCAAAATGAAATTTTGGCAAATAGATTTTAGTGGTAATATATAAAAAGGACAATATGTTATGACCAAATAGATTCTGTCTCTAGAATGCAAGGTAGCTTTACCACAATGGCTGGGGATATAGCTCAGTGGCACAGTGCCTGTATCAATTCCCAGTACCGCCCCCCCAAATATCAAACAAAGTAATCTACCATATTAAAGAAAGGAAATCCACACAATCACATCAATAAATACAGAAAGTGCATTTGGCAATATCCAACATATATTGCTAACTAAAAAGTAAAAATATATCAAGAGGATAAGAATGCAAGAGAACTTCTTTAAATTGATATGACATATCTGAAAAATTGCAAATAATAGAATACCTAATGTTTTAAGACTAATTTCTCTCTGAAAGCAGGAACAAGACAAGGATTATTGCTCTTATTGATTAGATTCATTATGGTACCATGGAGTCCAGCAACCAGGTAAGAATAAATAAATAAATAAACAAATAAATAAATAAATAAATGGCTAGCATCCAATTTGTAAATAATAAAGCAACATTTTTTTTGTAGACAATTTGATTGCCTAAGTAGTAAACCCTATTAAATCTACAAAAATAAATTTGAGTATCAAGATATAATATGAACGTACAAACATAAGCTGTAGGAGCTAGAGATGTACCTCAGTGATAGAGCACACTTGCTTAGCATACACAAGGCCATGGATTTGATCCCCAGCACCACAAAAACCAAACAAGCAAAACAAAATCAATTGTTTCTTTATATAATAGCAATGAACAATGAGTAATTGAAATAAAATACCATTTACAATAGCATCAAAATGTATTAAATACTTAGAGATAAATTGGACAAAAGACATGTATTACCTGTATGCTGTGAATAATATAACAACGCTAAAAACAAATTAGGACAGGCCTAACAAATACACCACATTCACAGTTCACTAATCAGAAGACTAAATGTTCTGTAAAAGTCATTCCTCTCCAAACTGTGCTGTCCACACCCAGTGCGATTCCAATGCCCAAACACAGTTTAAGAGCTTTGCGAAGGCTGCGGGGTGGGGTGAGTTGTTTATTTTTTTTTTTAGAAAATGACAAACTGATTCTAAAAACCATATGAGGTAGCAGAAAGGACCTAGAATAGGTCCTTCCAAAATTTTTTTTTTTTTAAAAATAGGAGACCAAAGAGGTACTACTAATATTACCTTATTTTAGGACTTTTTATAAGCTACCATAATCAAGACAAAGTAATATCAACCTAAAGTTAGAAAGATTGATAGAACAAGATAGAGAGCATAGTAGTAAGTCCACATGAATGTGGAAAACAGATTTTCAAAGTATACAAAGCCATTTCAATTAAGAGTGATTGCTTCAATACATATTGTAGGAACAAGACAGCACACACACATACACACACACACATATGCACACACACGTGTACAAAACCTTCACTTGTGCCTTATACCATCTACAAAAAAATGATTCAGAATGCATCATAGAATTGTGTGAATCTAAAAATCTATAAAAGTCCTTGAAGAAAACTGTTATGTTTTGGATCTGGAATGTCTCTTAAAAACTAATTCATTGAAAGCTTGGTCCTCAACGCAGCAGTATTCAGAAATGGGGCCTCTGGGAAGTGATTAGATCACAAGGTTCTGATATCATTGATGGCTTAATTCATTTATGGCTCAATAATAGCTTAATGAGCTCTTGGAAGGTGGAGGAAACTTTAGTAGGTGGGATCTAGTAGGAGGAAGAAGGCCCGCAGGTATATTTATCTTGTCCCTGGTCTTTTCCCTGCTCTCTCTCTGCTCTCTGGCTGCCATGTGATGAATAACTTTCCTTAACCATGCCCTTTCACCATGATGTTCTGCCTCACCATAGGCCTAAATGCAACAGAGCCAAATGATCATGGACTGAACCCTCTTAAACTACAAGCCAAAATATAAACCTTTCCTGCTTTAAATTTAATTTCTCAGGTAGTTTGTGACAGCAATGGAAAGCTACCTAGCATAAGAAATATAACCAAAAACTTTGGCTTTGGCATTTATTTATTAGATATGATATCAAAGGCACAATCCAAAAGGAAAAATAAATAAAGTTAGACTTCATGGAAATTTAAGCCTTCTGCTCTTCCAAAGATATCATGCAGAGAATGAGAAGTGAAGCTGTGGATGGGAGCACATGTTTGCAGAACTCACATTTGATGGAAGACTTGTACCAAGAAAAGGAAAAGATGACAGAACACACAGGTGAACTTGGCAAAGCATTGAAAGAGATACTTTGCTGAAGCAGATATATGCTGCTATGGTTTAGATCTAAAATCACCCCCCAAAGTCTCATGTGTTTGGAGGGTAATTGGAAGGGAACACTGTACGCCTCAATGGGTTCATTCATTGCAGAGTTCATAGCTGAATGTGATTTCAGGAGGTGGGTCTTGTTGGAGGTGGGTCTATTCTTGACACAGCTCCTCCCTTCTCTCTCTGCTTCCTGGCTGCCATGACCTTTCTCCACACTGTTTCTGCTTTGGACCCTGCTGACCATGGACAGAAATCATGAGCCAAAATAAGCCTCTTTTAAGTTGGAGGTTTCAGGTGTTTTACCTCAGTGACAGGAAAGTGACTAAAACATATGCATAGCAAAAAGCACAAGAAAACATGTTCAACATCACTGCTCACGGGGGTTATGTGAATAGAACCACAAGAAGACCTTGCTGCACTCCTGTTGGAATGGCTGAAAAGCAGAAGGCTGACCACACAAGTGATGGTGTGGATGAGCTGGAGTTCTCCCACATGGCTGTGGGAATGTAAAATGGTGCAGTTACCTTAGAAACTAGTTAGGCAGATTTAAAAAAAAAAAAAAAAAAAGAAGTTAAGCATACATCTGTCATATGACCCAGCCATTTTCCTTTGTAGGTAATTACCCAAAAGGAATGATAGCATATATCCACACAGAGACTTACACATACATGAATGTTCATTGCAACTCTATTCATAATAGACCCAAACTGGAAATGACCCAAATAGCCATTCATGGGTGAATAGACAAAGCATGGTGCATTCATAAAACGGAACACTACTTAGCAATAAAAAGAAATGAACTATTGATACGAACAACAGCACAGATGAATCTCCAAATAATTATGCACGGTGGAAAAAGACACACAAAATAGAGCACTTACCTCATAGTTCCCTTTATACAAAATACCGGAAAATGCAACCCCCTCTATTGGAACAGGCCGAAAGAGGAACAGTGGTGGTAGGAAGGGAACTTCAGGAGTGACGGGTAGGTTCCTAATACTGGTTGTGATGGTTTTTATGAGAACTTGTCAAATTGTATGCCTAAAACATGTGCAGTATATTGTATGTCAATTACATATCAGTAAAGCTGTGAAAGAGAAAAAGTGAATCCAGCACATTGTTAAAGTCTGGGAATAGTCAATTTAACCCGGAGGGACAAAAGGGGAGGAAATCAAGAAACAAGCCAGGGAGTGTGAGTTCTGAGCAGCTGTCTTTGGTTATTTGTCAGAGAGGGGCTGGGCTGCATGCTATAGTGTGTCACCAGTCACCAGTCACAGGGACAAGGATATACGGGGCCACTTACCAGAAGTTTGGCCTGAAGCATATAGTGAAAGGACTCCTTGATTGATTAAGGACAGGGCAGGTACATTGAAGGTCTCGAACAGGATCTAGGGAGGAACATTAGCAGCTGGCAGCCTGATGAGCAGACAGAGCAGGCAGGGCTCCAGCTCACTCCCCTAGGTCAGCATGGGTCCCTCCTGTAGCAGGCCCTGGCCCTAAAGCAATCCAGGCCAGGTCAAATGCACAACCCCCTCCAGCTGCCTCTGCCGTAACCAGCACTCAGCTCTGTTTCCCAGTCTGTAAAAACGGGCTCACAACCTTCTCCTGGTGGCTCCCATGACTGTGGAGACTGACTGGACTAGGGCACCAGAAAGTCTTGCTAGTCATTGCTGTGTCTTGACAGGAGGCCTCTGTGGACTGGCAGTTGTCTTCAGGGGACACATTCTTCCTTCTGCTGCTGAGAAGTGTGCGGTGCCATGGGATCTCCACCTTTTGATTTGGGAGGAACTGTCTTTCATATGATGGAGATAACCACAGATAATAGCTCCTGTGTGGTAACTACATGCTGGGCATCTTGTTCAGACATTGTTTATTCCAGAAGCACAGCTTGGGTACCCACTGGATACCAGCATCAGAAGGAGGGAGCAGGTGACATACACCTGGCTTTGCCCGTCCAGGTACATGATACTCACTTTGTGCATATGAGACCAGCAAGCAAAAATATGAATGAGCAGGTGGCAGAGGGGACCAGGCGCAGGTGGCTGGCAGCAGGGCTTTGCCTCTTTGAAGTTGGCCATGTGAGTGGTTGACACCTATGAGATCACGATGCTTGTTCTATGGGGCCTGAGGATCACTTTAGCTGCTGGGGCCATTGCAGTGGTTTTTCCAGCCACTCAGGTAGAAAAAAAGGCAAGACTCTCCTGACCACTCTCTGAGTAAGAGCAAGGTGCCAAGCAGGCCCACACAGAGACTTGCGCCCAGGTACTGTGACAGTGAGCAGCCCTACAGGTGGATTCCATGGGCTCCCTTGCAGGAGGTCATTTGGACAATTTCCTGGGCTCCTGTCTGGGGAGCTGTCCCTACGTGTGTGGCACCTGGCCCCAGAAAAATTGGCACTAGCACTGTGGCCTCAGAGCCTGAGTGTCTTACAAAGCCAGTGATGGGAGGTGGACTTATTCAGCTGCTCAAGGGGGCACCAATTGGCCTCAGCCTGGACCTCAAAATGGGACCAAGACAGCATGTTTTAGAAACTGAAATCATGCATGGCTGGGCTGCATCCTTGAACATGTTGCTTGTAAGATACATAACTAGATCACTGGGCAGCATTCAGGCTGGGCTTGGGCATTCCACCCAGAAAGGAAACTCATCTGTGTGAAGACAAGCTCATGCTGACTTGTAGTGGCTTTATTTTCCCCAAACTGGAGACTCCACAGGTGGGCATCCACAGGTGATGAACCCAAAAGTGTGGCACATGGTGGTGGGGGGAGGCACTCCCAATGGGAAGACAGCTTTTGTGATGGAACCAGAGTCCTGCCCCTTAGAAATCACAAAGAAAAACACTAGCTTCAGCCCTTGCTCTGCACTATGGAGCATAAAGGTCGCAGAACTTGGAGGGTCTTGGGTTCCTACAGTCAAACACTTGCTGCACAGGTGAGTAAAGCCAGTCCCAGGACAATAAGGGCAGCATTTGCTGAAGGCTCCATACAGAGGAAGCTCTAGTGCTCTAAGGGCATGAATCATTCCATCCTTACCACAACCCCAAGAAGGTACCATGATTAACCTGACAAGGAAGCTAAGGCAGATGGAGGACCACTGAGCTACCTGACATCACACGTACTAGCAGAGCTGGAGCCAGAACCACAGGCCCCAGTACCAGGCCCTTCTTGGTACCTTGGCTGCTTCCTGCACTGGCTTCTCCTCTGAGACAGAGTGTGTGTTAGCACAGAAACATCTTCCAGGAGAAACTGGACTCCGCATCTCTCAGCTGTTCCAGTCTTGTGGGTCTATGGAAGTTGGGTAGCTGCACAGAAGGACATTGGCAGAGGCAGGAGACCCACTGGGTGGGTGCTACATGAGGGAGAGGTGGAGGCAGAGCCTATAGGGGCAGAAATGTCCCTTTCCCTGCAACATGGCCATGTCCTTCCTGTCAGCTGAGGGGGGCAGGGTAGAGGAGGGGGAGTGACTGCTTCATCCTTGGTCCCATAGAAGCCTCCAGCCTCCTCACTGCTCTCTGACTGGGTAGACTCCTGAGCCCCTCTCCTCGGTGGCCCTTTGATGCCCCTGCTCACTTCCAGCCAGGTCCCTCTTCTGACACCACAGTTCCTGGGTGAGGCCTCTCTCTCTCTCTCTCTCTGGGTGACCAGTACTGCTCTTTAGGGCTTAGGGTGGCAGTGGCCCCATTATCAGCCCTGGCACACTGCGGCATCCAAACTGCTTTCTTGAAGAGGTAACCGCCATGGGTGGAATCTTCTTATCAACTTCTTCAGGAGAAGCCCGGATGGATGCTCCTCTGGTCTTCTGCTGGTCCCTGACATAAGCAGTGTGGATCTGGGGCAGAGAAGCATGCAGTAGCCCAGGGAATGGAGGGATACACCAGAGGCAGGCAGTGTGCTTACCCCATGGATGTTGCCATGGTGAATTCCATAGATCAACCTGCCCGGGCTCTGTGGACTCAGATATTTCAGCAAACATTACAGAGATATGTCCATGGGAGTATCCTTGCGTGAGACTAATGTTGGGTCAGTGGACTGAGGGAAGCAGATGGCCTTCTCCAGCACAGGTTACTGGTGCATTCTCTGAGTATGGGGCCTGGTGGGAGGTCACACCTGCCTGCCCTCAGATTTGGGACAAGGGTCTTCTGGCCTTCAGGCTTAAACTGGGGTGGTAGTTCTTCTGGGTCTTCAGACTGAGGCTATGTTATTGCCTTCCTGGGTCTCCAGCTTGTGATGGCAGATGGCAGTAACCACTCGAGCCAGTTCCTTCTGTACATGTGCACACACCTAGTACTCTTTTCTGCCCAGTACAGTGAGGAGCACCATGCTCCTGGGATAAAGGTGGCCTTGCCCTCCAATCTTCCTACAGTTCCTGAGGTCCTTGTGGGCAGTGGGTGTTCTCCTGGAAGATACCTGCTCTATGCCCTGTCTGTGGGCAAGTCCAGCACTTTGGGCTTTCTTTCCCAGGGCAGCACCTCATCCTGGGCTTGCTGTGCCATGCGCAGGTGGTGTCTTGGCCTGGGCCTAGCCTTCAGGTTGCTTTTCACTGCAGGAGACAGCACTAGGTTCAGGGGTACCAGGCCAGATGGATGAGCCTTGCTGCTGCTTAATTAGCCCATCAACATCCTCATTAGGAAATCCGGATGACATGAGAACACCGGCAGCCAGCAGGGACCCCTGCAGTGCACCCCCCTGGCTCCACTCCTCCAGCCCCAAGGAGGACTCTGCAATCTGTGCGGGCACCCTGGGCTGCCTCATTCCACCCACCCTTCATCCTCCACCTGGCCCTGTTACCTGGCACACCTTCTCCTTGGTGGATGTTGAGTTTAAAGGTGACTCGGTCACCATCAGAGGATGCTCTTCAGGGGGGGTGCGGAGCACCTGGTAGAAGGAGTGATGCCAAATCTAGAGGGACAGAGTAGGGCAGAGTGGGCTGCTCTGAAGACGGAGGAGAGCCCAGTTGCTCAGAGTATCAGCGCAATCTCTCTCTCTCTCTCTCTCTCTCTCTCTCTCTCTCTCCTATCAATCAATCCACCTATTATCCATTTATCATTTATATCTTTCTTCTTTCTTCTGTCTTTCCTTTCTTTCTATATCTGGCAAAACAGAACAGTTGGATTTTGAATCCATGTGTTCCACAACCGAAGATTCAAACCACAAAAGATCAAAAATATTCCCCCAAAATGGGTCTGTACTGAACACATACAAATTTTTTTTCTTGCCATTACTCTCTAAACAATACAGTACAACAGTTATTTACATGATCTTCCTATTGTAGTAAGTATCATAAGTCACAGAGGGCTTCTCTACAGTATACGGGAGGGTATGTGTGGGTTATTGCATGTACTGCTATTCCATCCTGTGGTCCTTGGATTTTAGTATCTGAGGAAGTCCTAGAAACAATCCCCACAGATACCTAAAGATGACTGCATTTTGGGCAGCATCTGCAGCCTCCAGTTCAGAGACAGAGACTGTGACCTGATGACCCTGCAGGGAGGTAGAGTGTGACCATGGGTGAGACACACACCTGTGACTGTACACCATGCCCAGAGGAGGAAGAGGGACAAATGAAGGCATGGTGCTATCTAGAGGACCTTGGGTCTGACTCTTAAGGACATTTGCGCCCACACTGTAGGGAAAGTCTGCAACAAGGCAGGCTGTCTGTGCACCGTGAGAGTCCAGCATTGGCAGAAGCTCTGCCACACACAAGTGTGCTCACTGGAAAAGCAAGGTGCCCTTACTGGGCCTATGTCCCCATCTTTAAGACGGAAAATAGACCCTATCTCAAAGGGGATTGTGAAGATTAGATAATGATTTTATTTAAAAGCCTGGTGTATCTACTTCCTATCAAACCCTGCAGTCAGGGTGGCTCCAACAGCAGTCACTGTCCTACATCCCAGGAACTGGAGGCCCCAGATCAGGTGTCAACAGGGCTGGTCCTTCCTGAGACCTCCCTCTTTAGCTTTCAGATGGCATCTCCTTCCTGTGTGGGTGTGTGTCCTAATCTCTTCTTCTTATAAGGACCTCAGTCGTGTGGATTAGGACCCACCCTACTGACCCCATTTTCACTTAATCACCTTTTTAAAGGCCCTCTCTCCAAATTCAGTCACATTCTGAGGGACTAGAGATCAGAATTCCAGGATATAATTCTGGAGGCGCACAGTCCAGCCTGTGCCACCTAGTGTAGACGTTGGCACACAGTAGGGCTCCATAAACAATGCTAGTTATTACATGTGGCTTTCCTGCCTGCTCCTTGGGAGGGAAGCTCTGTGCATGATGGAAAGAAACTAGGGACAGCTCTACTGGTAAGAGGCATAGAGAAACTCAGGCTGTGGAAGCGTCATGAGGTTGCAGATGCCTGAGGCATCACAGCACCTAAGCAGTGGCAAAATCCAGGTGGACTTATACCTTGATGCTCTGATAGCTTGAGGCATGGGGTGATAACCCACCCTGGGGTGTATGTGGGTGGTTGAACCAGGGACGAGTGGGTGCATTGAGGACATAGAAGGGAACTCCTCCAGAGACACTGCACTTGGCCAACAACTTGAAACTCAGAGCTGGCACTGACTGCAGACACAGGACAAGCCCCAAAGATGTAGGCAGAGGGGGTGAGCCCCACAGTGGAGGGGAGGGGCAACAACATCCCAGTGGGAAAGGGCATAAGAAGCTGGAGACCTGTGCACTCCAAAGTCAGTCTACATGGCTCCAATGTCTGCATCCCCTCCACACTCAGCCTTGTCTTGATCTTGAACTTCTGGCCTCTAGGACTGTGAGGCAATGGATTTCTATTGTTTAAATTATTTGATTATGGTATATCTTCTAAGACAGTTGCAACCTGTTCAAACACACGGAAGCCTAACCAGAACCCTTGGCTATGGACAGAAAGAGGTTTGATTTCACTGTATGTGTTATTTTTTCATACCTGGGATTAAGGATCTCTTTTCTATTGTTTCCTTTAATCCCCACAGCAGAGGTGTGGTAAGAGCAATTATACCTGCCTGAAAGACAAGGAAACTGAGGATCACAGAGGCTATAGCTCGTGTCCCAAATGACTTCAATAATAAGCAGTGGAGACAGGATTCAAACTCAGGTCTCCTGACTGCAGAGCCTGGTAGCTGAGACCATGATAGGTCCAGAGGGACTAAGAGCTACAAGCTGTGACACCACTCTCTGTGCCTTGCAAAAGACCCTTTCCTTGGTGCTGAGGCAGTAGTAGGGGTCCTGTGCCAGGTCCTCCCAGTAGAAGCTGTGACCCACCTTCTCCAGGTTGTCCCAGCTGTTGATGGCTCCCCGGGAGATGGGGTACTGCAGAATGAGCTTCTCTCTGTTTTTCTGGGTATCGTCTCCAATAAACCAATCTTCCTCCTCCATTCCTATCAAAATAGTCTGGAAAACGTGGTAGGACGGATCAGTCCAGGGCAGGGGTGGGAGGCGGGGGCTCAGGTGCACTCAGACAACATGAACCACAACAGGAAGGGCCCCAAGTCACAGTGTGAGCACGAAGGACCCTCTCCAACCCCATGCACAGTTTCAATAGTGGCCCCTAGAAGGTTATGACCAGCTGCCTGCATGTAAAATGCTCCTGACAGGTCTTTGCCAGGACACTCATCCTCCCACTCTGAAGACAAGGCAGTGGAGAACAATGGAGAGAAGCTGTGGGTGGGGAGGCTTAGGGACATGCCTGGGATGCTTGCTTTGGAGGGCTGGCCAGGAAAGGTTTGCTTTTGGGAAGATGCACCTAGCTGCTTTCAAGGGAGATGAAATTTTATTCTGCCACTTGGGATTTACCAGTTGTCTAGTGTGTTAATCTGGGTCCACCAAGAGGTGAACACTGAGCTGGGATTGAAGGTGTGAGATGTTAGTAGGGAACAGCCCTCTGTGGACAAAAATGGGCAGGGAGCAAGGATGCAGAGCCATCAAACTGATGCCCATGTCTGACACCAGGTACAAGAGAGAAAAGTCAGTTGTGCAGAGGTTGTGGGCTACTGTGCATGACAAGTAGGTTCAGCAAAGGAAGTTCCAGATCCAGACTCACTTGTCAGAGGAGTCCCAGGTCTTCAGGAAAGGGCCATGCTCAGCAGTTGGCTGAGATAAGCCTGCAGAGAGCATGATCTTGGGGCAGGAGTGCAATGGGGCAATAATGCAACAGGGCCACAGGACAATAGGGCAAATAATACTGTAAAAGCTTCTCTGACACTCTCCAGCTGACCCTCATCTCAGGGTATGGGCTGTGAGAGTGTGGAAGGAGCCTCATGCTCTCTTTGAGCTTGCACAGTGTGCAGCCTGGTGTCCCATTGCCGGTTGGCCTGTGGGTCAAAGTGGCTGCTCAGGTTGGAATGGACAAGTGACTTTGGGCAAAGCCTGTGTCCTGTCTCTGGGTTCCCTCCAGCTCTCCCACAAGGGCCTTGCTGCAGTGTTAGCCATCAGCCTGAATTACTAGGTGTAGGATGGGATGTGGAAGCCCCAGGGATACCCCAAGACTCCATGCCTTGGGAAGGCGAGGAAAGGCACAAACTCAAGCCGGTGGAGGGGCCAGGGGCTTAGACCTGGAAGGAACAGACCCCTCCCAGCAGAAACTGCTCTTGCTGCCCAATACTGGGGTGAAGCCCACAGGCTGGGGATGACATGGCTCAAGGGAAAACAAGCAAATTGAGGTCAAGTGCGGCCTGCAGGGCCCAGGGGACTTGTACACTTATAATTGATCTTGATCACTTAATGCGATTTTGGTAAGGAGTTTGATTTTGTCATGCCAGGACCCTGTGTCTCACATTTGTACAGCCCATTTATATTCAGTTCTGCTCTCTGACACTCTGCTTTTTGTACTATGCTCTCTGGTACCTGTGGTGTCACTTTCCAGCGCTTCAGCTACAGGTGGTCCAAAAATATTAATATCTATCTTGACTCTTTTGAGAAAGAGATCACATTCATATAACTTTTATTGCCAGATCTTGTTAACATTTTTCTATTTTATTATTACTTCATGTTGTTAATTTCTCACCATATCTAGTTCATAAACTTTTTCTAGGTCCATATGTACAGAGGAAAACAGCGTGAGTAGGGTGGGGCACTCCCTGAGGTCTCAGGCACCCACTGGGATTTCTGGGAAGTACCCCATGAATGATGGGGAAGATGGCACAGTTAACAAGTGCTTTCTCTCCCTCACACACACTTCCCCTTGGCTACAAGATATATTCTTGATGCAAGCAGCATTAAGACTGCAGAACAAATGGGTCTGCAATCAGGGCAAATAGGGCTGCAGACCAAGTCCAGACAAGTCTCCTGAGCCAGAGCTGGAGCAGGAAGAGGGCACTTGGGTCCCGCCTTGGGCTCTGGGAAGGGTTGGTGCTGGAGCACTTGCTGTAGCTTCAGGAGGGGAGCAGGAAAGAACAGGAAAGCAAGACCTGGACACCCTGACCTTGCACTTTCAGTCTGCCTCTAGGGCATCTTGCTTTTGAAAAGTCTAGCAGGAGCAGTCAGTAAGGAATTCCTGGAATTGTTTTTGCTGACTTGCAGCCCCAGCATCCCAGTGAAAAGCAGAAACTTGAAGAATAAAGTTGGGACCAACAGTGACAGGGAGAAGCCAGCTGCAGTAGGGTGAATGGTGGCCTCGGAAGATATATCCAAGCTCTAACCCTTGGACCTTGTGAAGATGACCTTCTTTGGAAAAAGGGTGTTTGCTGACATAACTCAGGTAAAGGCCCTGGAGTTGTTCCTCGCCTTAAGGTGGGCACTGCATCCAACGTCAAGCGTCCTTGGAAGAGAAAGTCAGAGGGAGACAGAGAAGGAAAAAAGGAAGAGGGCCCATGAAGTCAGAGCCAGAGACTAGAGTGGTAAGGCCACAAGTCAAGGGATGCTTGGGTCCCCAGAGCTAGAAAAGGCAGGAAGGAGCCTCCCTGAGAGCCTTGGGAGAGCACAGCCCTGCTGAAGCCTTAGGGCCCAAAGATCTCAGGAAGAGCAGCTGTGTACTGTTTTAAGTGCTCTGTTACAGCAGTCCTGGGACACCAGGGCAGTAATGATATTGTAAGGTCTAAGTGCCTGCTGCCCCTCCTCTAGCTTATTCTCCCACCCCCTCTCCAAGCTCCCTGGTAAAATCCTCCAAAGTGGGCAGGGACAGTGCGTTGCTATCTGGCTAGGTTGATCAGAGCTATTCCAAACAGTTAGGTTTCAGGGAGGGGGAACAACTTTGCATCGAAACTCTGCAGAGAATGGGGCGGGGGCAGAGGGGCCCTGAGCTCCTGCTTCTGGGAGACACAGTGGGGAGGGCTGGTGGGGCTGGGACATTCCACTCTCTTCCCATGGTGCTGCTCAGGTGGTTGAGGATAAAACTAAGTCTGTGTTGCAAACTGGGAGCTACCTCTCGATACCTCCCCTCTCACTTGTGTAGTAGATTAAGCCAGACCCTCTGCATTCTCTTATCTCTGATGCTCACCTGCTCCTGGTCTCGGGAAAGCCAGCAGCTACCACTTGCAACAAAGGCTTTATTTTGGGAGCTTGGGAGGCCCTTCTGGGAAGCTCCCTGGCTCAATTTCAACAGAAACTGTTAACACACCAAACTGGTTCCCCAGAGCATGACCAGGACACATCTCCTGTGCCAGCCTCCTCCTACCTCTCTGCCCAGCCCCTTTCTGGTTCCAGCAGGTCTATGGCAAGCACCCACCTGGCTCTAGATGGCCCAGCTGGAGATAAGCTTTAACTTCCAAGGAAAGAATCCTCTGAGTCTTGGGCCAGACGCAACCCCAGGCCCTCTAACCCTTAAAGACATTGGGCCTTGTATCTGTCCTTAAAGCGTCTACTGACTAAACATGTCCCCCAAAGTCATATGTTGGATTCCTAACCCCCAGTACCTCAGTATGGGACTGTATTTAGAAATGAAGTCTTTTCAGGTAACTGAGTTATAGGGAGGTCACTAGGCAGGGCCCTAATTCATTTAACTGGGATCCTGTAAGAAGAGGAAGTCACCACACAGACACACAAAGGACAACCATAAGAGAGCACACAGGGAGAAGATATCATCTGCAAGCCAAGGACAGAGGCCTCAGGAGGAACCATCCCTGCCCATGCCTTGATTTTAGACTTCTAGCCCGCAGAATGTGAGACAGTGATGCCTGTTTATGCCCTCTGCCTATGGTGCTTTGTTAGAACAACCTGAGCAAACTAATATAAAGCAAGAGTCCAAGATTTGCAAGATTTCTAGGGAAGTCCTTTCTGACAGGATTTCTAAAGGTGAGCAGCTGGCTCAGGGCCATCTGAAACCTTAACCCTACAAAGCTAGTCCAGTTTTTTGTACCTATGAGCCTATGAGCTAAAAATGCCTCTACATTTTTAAAATGTAGTTGGTGTTATCCAGGGAACAGGTTCCTGATAAAAGAAAGAGCTTCGCCTTCGTCCACACCTTCTCTTTCTCCATTCCCCTCACCACACCTTCTGCCATGGGATGGTCACAGAAAGAAACCCTAGTCAGATGCAGACCCCTCGCTGTAGACTTCCTGGTCTCCAGAACTGTAGGGAATAAATGTCTGCTCTTCATGAATTACTCAGCTTCAGGTAGTGTATCATACAAGGGCTCATCAAAAACATGGTGTGTGCTTAAACTTTTAAAATGTATTGCCACAAAAGACACATTCCCATTAATCGGCCAAAAAAAGTTCCTCTTTGCTTTGAACACACTTATCCCGTCAATCTTGTCACTTTCTAGAGCAATTCCTGAAGTCCTCCTTCATGAGTGCCCTTATGAAGTGTGATCAAAAATACAGACTGCTGCCAGGTGCCAACCAATGGGAAGGCGAGCTTTCCATTGTGTCCTCATTCACTTTATTCACTGGATATTGCACTGTGCAACTTCCAGATTTTCCCTAAAGTCAAAATGACTATGAAAGGTAAATGTTTTTAACAAATTCAGGGCGCTGGGGCAACCATGACACAGCAACTAAACACACTCAAGAAAGAGAACTTCCAGAACTGCTTCAGGAAGTGGCGAGAATGATGGGATAAGTGTGCTTAAAGTGAGTGGGAGCATTTTGACAAGGCTTAATAGTGTGTCTGTAATAAATTTTAAAAATTTAAACATTTATTGTATTTTTTAATCGTACCTTAAAGGAGCACAAAACAACCTGGGACACTGACTTCTGTAACCAGCTGCTCCACAGAAGCAGCTGGAAGAATGGCAGGGGATAGTGGCCAGAACTACAAGTCGTCACCCCAGCCCAGCTCAGCTGAAGCAGAACTCCAGGCTGAGCCCAGCTTCTGTGTGTCACCAGTAGGCACTCCCACGCTTCTGAGGCCTGTCCACTCCAGCTTGGAGGACAGCCTTGCCCAGGCCAGTGGAAGAAGGGATGAGGCTAAGAGTACCCAGGTTGACACCTCGTATCACTCACATCATGCCGAAGTTTCCCAAGGATGGTTGGGAAGATAGCCAGCGGGGCCTCTTTTCCTGCAAACCCCACTTTGCTAAAGCCTGAGCCGTAGTCACAGATGATGGGCACCCTGTCCATCTTGCTGCTTGCGACCTGGATATGGCTGCAGGGAGAAATCACACTGTTATTTGTGCCATGTGCTCCAAGTTCACAGACACTGAAGGTACAGGGCAATGTGGCCATTCCCACACCCAGAGCTTGTCCCTGCCTGGGCTAGGAGCCACTTTCTCAGTGCTGAGGACATTTTTCTGGAACAGGGGTGATTCCTGGAGACCTTTTGCACATGACTTCCCCAGGGAAGGGCCAGCTGTTAGTCTGGGGTGTGCACCTCCACCTGTTTCTGGAGTGGCCCAGGGATGCCTAAAAGTATACGGAAGGATGTGCACAGGGTCTATGCTGAGGGTATGTAGTTTCATATAAAGCACTTGCACACCCTTGGATTTGGCATCCAAGAGTAGGAGTTTCCAACCCCTCAGTCATGGACTAATACCTGGCACCAGTCTGTGGCTTAATAGGAACCAGGTCACACAGCAAGAGGTGAGCAGCGAGTGAGGAAAGGGAGCTTCAACCATATTGATGGCCACTGCCCGTCACTCCCATGTGGCCTAAGCTATGCTGCCTGTCAAATCACTGACTGCACTGGATTCTCATAGGGGCCCAAACACTACAACATGCTGTACATGCAAGGGATTTAGCTTGCTCGCTCCTTTGAATCATCCTGAAACCATCCCGCCCTCCCACCCCTAGTCTGTGGAAAAACTCTCTTCTACAAAACTGGTCCCTGGTGCCAAAAATATGGAAGACCACTATCTGAGGTTTCCTGGAACCCATCTCCCACAGATGTGGAGGGACAGCTGTACACACATGATAGATAGATGCTAGACAGATAGATAGATAGATAGATATCACATTATTTTATATTTGACCTTTTATTGAACCCTATAAACATTCCCATGTTATTAACTATTGCAGGAAAATATTTTAAATTATAATCATGTATGTCTTAGTTACTTTTTTTGTGGTTGAGACAAAATACCCAATATCTACAAGTTAAGGGAGGAAAGGTATATTTAGCTCACAGATTGTAAAGATTTCAGCCTACAATTGCCTGGCTCCAAGGCAGCACATGGCAGTGGGGGGAGCAGTTCATGGCAGTGAAAAACAGCAAGAGCAACAAGAGAGAGCAGAGAGAGATAAGACTCTTTCTGTCCCTTATACTGTATACAGGATACCCTGCATACACCCTTAATCCCAGCGTTGGACCATGAATCAATCACAAACTCTAGATTCAGCCACCTCTGAAAAGCCTGACCCTTATGACTCAAGGCTTTGAAGGGACATCTAGACACAAGCCATAACAACGTGTCACTTAATGATAAATATTGGTTTCGACAAACGTGTCATTAATCAATTTTACCACTAGATGAACTTCATAAAGTGCACTAAACACTGAGCCACTATGATGTCACTTGGTGACATAATCTCAGGGAACCAACCTCATGTGCAGGTTTTAGTCAACCCATTGTTGGCCAAAATACCATCATTCAGCACACAACTATTGCATAGTGTTCCCAACATCAGTCTGCTGTAAATCCTTAACCATCCCCCAGAGTGAAAATTTCTTTCTTCTTTCTTCCTTTCCTATCCTTCCCTTCCTTCCTTCCTCCCTCCCTTCCTTCCTTTCTTTCTTTCCTTCCTTTCTTCCTTCTCTCTCTTTCCTTTCTTCTCTCTCTCTCCTTTCCTTCCCACACCCACCCCTCCCAATGTGGAAATAGAACTCAGGACATTTTGCATGTTCAATAAGTGCCTACTGCAGAGCTACACCACAGACCCATGTTCAATTTTTTTCACCCTGTACTGAATACCCTTGTCCATCACTTTGTCCTGAGTTTTGGACTAGCTCCTTATCCCACACACCTCCTTAGAAACACTAGTTGTAAGATCAGGAATTTCAAAAGGCACCTTAAACATTTTGCCAAATTGTTCTTTGGGGACATTGGTCAATTTGCCACTGCCTCCAGGTACTTTTCACCTGAGTTGCCATCGTTTCCACTGGCTCCTGTCACCCAATGGCCTCAAGGTTCTCCAGCAGGGCCACATCTCTTTTAAGCATTCTGGATGTTCAGCTAGTGTTTCCTGAATGGTTTCTGGAACCTGCTCTGTTGTTTGGGGGAATTCATAACCTCCAGCTTTGGGATTTTTCTCAGGCCTCCTATTTGTGTGCTGGTTGTCACTTCCTAAAGATGGGGCTTTGGCTGCCTCTTCGCTTTTTGATTGCAAGGCACAGAGTGACCTGAGAACATTGCAATGAAGTCTGAGGCTCATGGGACACTTTACTGAACAGAGCCCTTGTTTGAATTTCCTGCCTGTTCATCACTGAGATGAGAGCCATACGGCAGGTGTCATTGTCCCAACAGCTGTCCTTTGGCATCTGCAAAAAGTGGGCTTTAGGATCCCCACAGATACATCTGTGATACTGGAGTCCCTCAGTGAAATGCCACAGTGCACGCATAGAACCTACCCACCTCCTCCACGTACATTAAATCATCTCTAGCTGACTTCTAATTCCGAGTACAATGTAAATGTCATGCAAATAGTTGTTTTATTGTATTGCTAGGGGAATAATGTCAACAAAGGAGTTTGTACATGTTCAGTACGGTTGACAATTTTTAAAAATATTTTCTGTCCTTGTTTGGTTGAATCCATAGATGCAGATCCAACAGAAATGGAGGCTGCTTGCATCACCAGCAAAGAGACCTGGGAGCAGGAATCCAAGTCCATACTCTTTCCCCCAAGTTTAGGGCTTTGGTGTATGGAAATAGATTAATTCTCTGGCTGGTCAAGTTGTTTTCATTTTTCTCTTTGGTAGAACAGCATTGGAGTTTAGGGAAATTAGCTGCAGTGACAAAAATGTGGTTCTCCCCTTTTATTTTAAATCATCTGATGTGGCTTCCATTTCTACCTCTTTAGCAGGAGGGAAATTAGGCCACAAGTAATTGCACTGCTCTCCCTGGACTGCACATACTCATCTGGGGCATCTTGAGTGGAAGAAAAATCAGTTCAGAGCAGGGAGGAGGGGGCATTTTCTTCCAATGGCCCGGATCCCTTGAGCTTGCCTGATTACTGTATTGACCAAAAGCCACTTTTCTATTTTATGCCAGATCCTTTTGGAACTTGTGAGTCTAAATACTCAATACAAGCAATCCATCCATCCATCCATCCATCAATATTCAGCACTAATTCACAGAAGTAAAACAATCTAAGGGAAGTGTAAAGGAAATTAGGAGAGAAGGTTTACTCCAGGATTGAACAGCAAGAGGAAAGGAAGACCCCAAGTTTCAGGTACCATCCTGGATACATTTTGAATGCCAAGAAGAACCCTGGTGACAAAGAGGTAAAAGGTAGAGCCCATCTAGGGCCCAGAGTGTTCTTCCAGGTCATAGCTTCTGCAAGAAGTTTTTGGCTATGATTAGCAGACATGCTGGCCACATGACCCAGATGGGGCTTCTCCAACTTAGTCTCAGTCTTAGAGCTTGGCTTCTTTCCCTTTTCATCATTACCTTGCTGTGTTCTTGGGATTTCAGTGGGGTTGTTTCTAAGGTCTCTGGCCCCAAAGATGGCCACATGATCCATGCGGGTGATACCTTTGCCACAGTGGTTGGCCAAATAACGACCCTCATCCTAATGCCGTATCCTAAAGTCTAGTGGCTGTGACTATGTGGCCTTACATGGTAAAGAGATGTTGCAGGTGTAATTAGATTATGGGTCCCGAGATAGGTGGATTACCCTGGATTATCCAGCTGAACCCAAGGTCATCACAAGAGTCCTTATAAGTGAAAGTGAGAGCAGAAAGGTCAGAATCAGGCAGATGAGAAGATGCTACATATTGGCTTTGAAGGTGGAGGAAGGGGCCACAAGCCAAGGAATGCAAACTGGAATAGGGAAGGAAAAAGATGCTCCTCTAAAGCCCCCAAAGGGACTGCAGCCTTACCAATGGTGAAATCCACTTCAGATGTCTGACCTCCAGAGTATAAGAGGATGCATTTACATGGTTCCAAGCTATAGAGTCTGTTGCAATTTGTCCCAGCTATCCTTGGCCTTGGTGGGGAGGTGAGCAGTGATGAGAACTGAGGCCCCTTCCTGGAGCCTTGGCCAGAGTGGTTGGGAGAATGCTTCCTCTATGGGACCCGGGAGCAAGGGGGCATGCTCTTGAAGTGAGCCTGGAGCTGCCACTGCAGCTGTCCTGGCCACCTGAAGGAAATCTAGCTGTGGGAAAGCAGAGACAGAACATGGGACAAAAGCTTTTTAGTATCATTGGAGCAGGGCTTCAACCTGCCCTGCCTGATCGAGTTCAGTAATCCAGTGAGTCCTTTCCTTTCTGAATGATCTACATTAGGTTCCTGGCACTTCCAACTGAGACAGATTTATAGCATCTTGCTCCCTCAAGATTGCTCATTAGAATTTGGTTGGCTCCAGTGCCCAGAAAACCACTGGAAATTAAAGATATATGATCATCCTCTGAAAATGCTCTTGTGGAGGCCCCTCAAGGTGGGCTAGGTCAGAGACTTTTACTTCTGAACTGGGAGTGGGGGTGATCAGCATTCATTCAGCAAATATTTATCAAAATCTACCCAGGGATCGGGCACTGCCTATGTCGGCACCCAGGGAGGAGCCCCTGGACAGATTCTATCCTCCTGGGCTGCTGATCTACCCAGGGAGCCAGTGTCGAAACAGCATTTTTTAAAAATTAAAAAATAGTTACTTATGTTTCAATATGACCAGTGCTATCAAGTTAATGCGTGCATGGACAGTTCCTAGAGGAGACATCACCTGGTCAGAGCAGCTAAGGGACATGTGGTTTGTTTGGTGTCCTGAACAATGAGCAGACTTTGTTTGGGTTTTGTTTGATTGAATAAAGTTTTAGTTTTCAAGATGTGCAGTTGGTGGGACCTGTCAGATCATCTCCTCCTGCAGTTTCTGGTGTAGCTTGCTGAGCTCTGTTCTTTGAAGGCTGTTTGGTAAGGGGCTCTTCTACTGAGGGGTTCCCAACCTGCTGCCTTGGCCAGGGAGCCATGAGTTACAAACTTAGCTGAAAGGGTCCTT